ATCGTCGTTGTCGTCGTCTACACGCGCGCGCGTGCGCACACAGCCAACTGCCGCGCGATAATCTGATAAAGGATTATCTTGTAACTTATATCTACAGCCCTTTATCAGCGCCAATCAGCTGTACTACCCTTCATAGACGCACACACACACGACCCAGATGGGAGTGTGTGGGTGCGTGCGTTTGTGCACCTAGCCGACTGAAAGTAAAACATCTGTATTTGCAACAGCAGCATCATCATCAGCAGCAGCATTAGCGGCAATGCGACGACGTCGACGACGAGGAGAGCAATAAGAGCCTGAACGAGCGCCTTAACTGATGGTTCGTGTGTGTAACCTCAGATTACACCTCTCTCTCTACCTCCCCTCGAACTCCTGCTCTTGCGTCGCCCCACCGGCGCCGTCATCAGCGGCATCACTGCCAGTATCGGCGCATCTGAACATCTTAAAGGCTACAGAAGATTCTGCTTTGAGGCGGGAAAAGCCTCTGCATCGTGCCCGGAAGTGCAGTGTACTCAGAGAGGGAGAGAGAGGGAGCGAGAGAGAGACGCGAGAAAGGTTGATAAAAGCGCGCTGATAGAGGCCACTGCAGCTAACTTACGGGATCCCGGGTACTGTTGCTTTACGAACATATAAACGCCACTGTATGTACAAATGAAGCTAGGCGTGATTTATCTACTGGAGTTTGCCAAAAATCTCCAACACGTCTCGCTGAGTGAGTGTTTTGTAAATGCATACACGTGTGAATTAAGAGCGACGGACGATCCAGGAAAAGGCATTGCAGCAGTTGGCTTCATTCAGCCAACGAGCTGTCTTTTTTCTAAAGTTGTATCTGCTCCTGTGCTGATATACGTCTTCACAATAATGATTGTGGTAATGACGGTGATGCTAGTGGGGTACTTATTGACGATAAAATATGACTTTTATTTGCAACACTAAAGGTAAACGCTGTAACAACAAAAGCGGTAGTTGCAGTAATCGTAGAAGAATAAGAAGAAAAAGAAGAGGAAGAGGAAGAAGACGACGACGACGAAGAAGAAGAAAAAGAAGAAGATGTAACATAAACGAGCGGCGTTTTAATTATTGCAGATGGTAGAGGAGTCGTTGTCACTAATTGTTTTCTGCCTTGGGAGTGCTATGGATTTGTACCTGTTATCCCACTACGCGATTTACTACTGCTTACATGTGGTACAAATGTTGATTATTATGCGCTGATTCTAACACGGTTTTAGGAGCTTTCTTCCTTCTCGATTAGAAATACGGAAAGTGTGAACGATTTTTTCAACACCAGTCTACGTTGAATCTTCCACAGTATTTTCTAAATTGCAGGTACCGCTGAACGGAATGATTACGGTGCATAACTTTCCTATCTAGTTTGAAAGAAGGCAAATTTTCGTTCGTAGGATTAAAAAATTAGTCCGAATAAATTTCCTATAAATAAAATGCCTCGTTAGTGGAAACTGTCATGCTTTGGAAAACTGGTGTCAGAAATAAGTCTATTGCAGTTCGGAGGGCTAGTGAGAGCCGATAATCCATGGGACAAGAGACGAGATTCTAGACATTCCAAGGGTCAAAAGGGAACTATGTCTCGGTTAATCTGGAGTTTTAGCTTTTTGGCGTACTTTGAATAACAAGTGTCAGTAATATTTGTATCAAAGGCTAGAGAGGTGGATTATTATGAATGTATTTTCTTAGCTGGGCGCTAACCGGGATTAGCCTGATGGTAATGTACAGTGCATTTTTCTTACATTGTAGTAACTATGCTTATTTCCGCTCCTAGGAAAGACATGGCCTATTGTGGTTCACCTTCATAAGCAAAACAGAAATTCGCAGCTTGAAAACACCGATGGCTTACTTCTGCAGACACTTCTACACTTCCGAGTGATGTGTAGCAGATAGTCTTTTAATTTAGCTCGTCTGCCATGTCTGTTTCAAGTAATGTCATCGTGTTTACTGAATCAGCATAAGAAGGCTGAGTGCAAATCCAAATAATCCAATGCGTCACGTTGGCGTCAGCAAAATGCCGCATTAAGTACTTGACTTGGTAAATGTACTTTTGCCTGAGAACAAACTGAAATGAATATTTTTCGGCGTCTCTCGGGACGAAAGTTAATTTTCCGCAAAACTGTTTGCTTGCGGTTTGTATAACTACAGTACAGCGTTGTTCAGCTATGGGTGGAGATTTGATCATACCAAAAGACGGAGAGGGAAACTTTTTCGTTGCTACAGTCATTATTTTCAGCTTTACGCCCACGTTTAATTATTTACTTATTCGATGAAAACACTTGTGGGACTCAATTTCCCAAATGGGGTTAGTTCGTGAAAAAAGGCGCGTTCATCAGTCAGTTTCGGGACGTGTGCATAAGAGAGACAGCGCTAAATTACCAGCCAAAAAAGCGTGAATTCGAGCCTCAGGTGCCCCAAATCTGAGATCGGATATGGCTTGCTGATGATGGCTTACAAACC